TCTCTCTCTCTCTCTCTCTCTCTCTCTCTCTCTCTCTGTCTTTCTCTTTATTTGTCTCTCTTCTTACCTCCCCTCCTCTTTCCCTCCCTTCCCTCTTCCTCTTTCTTCAGTACTAGAGATTGAACACAGGGCCTTTACACTGAGCTACACACCCACCCCTCTTTTACTTTTTATTTTGATACATGGTCTCATTAATTTGCTAAGTTTCTCAAACTGGGCTTGAGTTTGCCATCCTCCTGCATTGGCCTCCCCAAATGCTGAGATTATAAGTGTACACCACCGTGCCCACCCAATTTGCTTTTCTTGGTTTTCAACTATGCCAGGCATGGTGGCACATGCCAGTAATCCCACTATTTAGGAACTGAAGCAGGGGGATTGCTATGAATTTGAGGCTAGCCTAGGCTACATAATGAGTTCAAGCTCAGCCTGAACTACATAGTAAGACCTCCTCTCAAGAAGCAAAAACCAGGCAAACTCTTTGTGTGCATGACCTCACATATTCTAGGTGAACATTCTACTTTTGCAAAGCACCGCAGTCCTCTTCTGTGCTTACCGCTCTGCCAGCAGTTGGTTGATTGTTAGATAGGCCCACAGTTTCCTGGTGAAGTTGGGATCTGCGTGCTTGTCTTTTGATAGAAAGTCCTCCAAGTCATCCATCTGGGCCAGGGTTTCCAAGACCAAATCTGTATTAGCCTAGACATGAAAGGCACAGTTGAAGGATGCCAGCAGGCCAAACTGTTCAGTCAATTCACATTTTGGTACCTTTTGTGAGTGAATTAGGGCCCTGCATACTTTTGGAGAATATGAAAGAAATGGGAGATTTTATTGCTATTTCAGTTTTATTGCCTGTTAATGGTCTGTTTTAAAGAGTAAAAAAAGGAGAGATGGCAGGAAGTAGACCTCCTGCAAATGGGGAAAGGGAGAAACAGGAGGGTAAATAAAGGGAGGAAAAGGTACTAAACACACTCAAAATACCATCCGTGTGCATGTATACACACAGATATGCATGTGTACATATGTATGCCTACTTCCCAAATGTAATTAATAAGTATTACTAACATATGTCAATTTAATAAATATGCTGAAAAAATATACTGGAAAAAAAGAGAAAGAACTGGGAAGAAAAGAAAATGTATTGTCCAGGCTGGGCTCAGGCTGAGGGCCAAGAGGGTTGACACAAGAACGGGGAAGATGGCAGAAGGTCCCCTGTCTTCCTTCTCTGTCACCCCCTGTCCTGTTCTACATATATGATTCTGGGCATGTGGTCTATTAGTTTGAGAGCTCACGGGATCCACTGTGTTTCTGAGAGCCATTTAGTGGCACTTCAATTCATGAACGCTTTTGTTTGGAAATAATTTGGTCTGCCAAGAGAAGCGTTTGGCCAAATTTTGTTTTTGTTTGGAACTCTACATTGAGCAACAAACATGACCAAGGCCATCTTTTGTAAAATCATGGAGGGAATTAAGACTGTGAACTGAGGCCCCACTGTACTTTTAGAATAAAGTGATAAGCAGACGTACCGAAGTCGCAGTGATAAAGCTCTGTATTTGCTGTAGTTTATCGACGTCAAATTTTCCTGCCACCACAATCTCTGAGCCTCCAAAATAGTTGGAGAAACTGTTTTGAGTGACATCTGTTACTGAGGGGTGCGGATAGCTGAACTGAACATTTCGGAGCAGGGGAGTAGATACTTGGTTGTAGAATTTCTACAATTCAAAGAAAGAAAAGGAGGGGGGGGAAACACAGAGAAATAATTATTTTCATATCACTTTGTATATCTAAAGCATTTCCCTATCATTTTTTTCCCACATGCTTTCCAGAAAGCTTTTAAATTGTTCTCATGAGTCTCTGGGACAAGAGAGAATATATTGAATTACTTAGTTAAGAAAAACTGAGACAGAGACATGATCATGACTTGTTAAAACACTTTCCTTGATTTAAAAGCCCAACATTAGTTCCTATTTCTCTTATGATCAGCTTTAAAAATACCACAGGTCCTCATCATAATAGCAATCAGTTAGGTCAACGTTCCCCAAATGAGAAACTCGTCCCTCACTTGGCCTCAGTTTCAGATATGAAGCCTGTCATTGGCATCATTTTCTGGTTCACTTAATTAAAATAAACAAGCACTTTGGATTTTTATTTGCTTTTATTTTTTATTTAAGGAAAATGTTTTGAGGGAAAATAAGTGACCATGATAACAGGAAAAGCAACTGCTGGTAGGGGGCTGCAGAACCAGCGGAAGCTGGGTGGTGTCTCAGAAGAGACTACAGCTTGGGCCCAGGCCTGGCCCTTCCTCTGCCCTGTTAGTGTATAAATTCAGGCATGACGGGAAGTGTGTGGGGATGGCACTGAACCATTCTTGGGCTTTCACATGTGGCTGTGGCTGAAATGATAGCAATTTGCATGATGCTCATCTTCTTTGGGGCATCATATAAGGGTGGTTCTGGTAAGATGGGAAAGAAGGCCTCATTACCTTGAGCTGAGAGGACGTATCCTGGTTTCCATAAATTCTCTGAGCAATTCCATGGTTATCGTTAGATAGTCTCTTCAGAAAATCATAGTCAACATCAAATCCAATCCCCAAACTGAACAAGGAGATGTTATCTTGCATATTCTGCTTCACATTTTTCTGAATTTTTGATAATTTTAATTCACCTGAAGTTGGTGAAGATGAAGGGAAAGGAATGAGGACCTGATGTTAAGACTTCTCTTTTTTTCATTTATATGTTCGGTACAGGATCTCTCAATACACAGCTCGGATTTGTAGTGATCTTCCTGTTTTCAGCCTCATAAGTGCTGGGATTACAGGTGAGTCCCACCAGGTCCAGACTCAGTCTCGGCTCAGTGTGCCCTGGGGTGGGGCAGGTGCGGGATTTGGGACCAGGGATCAAACCCTGGTCCTTGTGCTTGCTAAAGCAGGTATTTAGTCTGCTGAGCTATCTCACTGGCCCTTAAGATGTTTTTGGAAGGTCAAGAGGGAAATATTTAGCAAAAATTGTTCAAATTAAAAATGTTCTTGCCCTTTATTCAATAATGCGACTTCCAGGAATTTTTCTTACAGAGCACTCATGCATGTGGAAATGGCTGTCACCCACGTTATTTGGGCATAGCCACACACTGGAAATAGATGTACACCAATAAGTAAGATTGGCAAAATTAATTCAGACAACCAAATATTACGCTGTTACTAAGAAGGACTCAGCAGACCCAGCAACTCTACATGTTTATATTGATTGAATAATCACACTTTTTTCCCCTTTCAAAAAATGGGATCTCATTATGTTGCGCAGGATAGTCTCCAACAAAGCCGTTTTTTTCTTGTTTGAAATGGTAGTGTCATGGGCCAGTCAGATAGCTCAAGCAGCCTAAAGCGCCTGCTTAGACAGGGGCAGGGACCAAGGTTCAATCCTCAGCGTGCCATGCTAGCCCCGCCCCCGGGGCATGCTGAACAGTGATTGAGACTGAGCATGGTGGTACATGCCTGTAATCCCAGCACATGGGAGACTGAAAACAGGAGGATCACTATGAGTCTGATCTACACAGTGAGACCCTGTAGACCCTATATTAAATACATTAGAAAAAATAAATACATTAAAAAAGAAACAAGACAGAAATGGTAGTGTTGGGCCGGTGACGTAGCTCAGTGGACTAAACACCTGCTTTGGCAAGCTCAGGGTCCAGGATTTGATCCTTGGCACCACATGCTGTGCCGGCCCCTCCCCTGGGTATGCAGAGCCAGCAACTGAGTCCGGGCGTGGTGGTGCACGCCTGTAATCTCAGTGCTGGGGGAGCTGAGAACAGGAGGGTCCTTAGGAGTCTGAGCTGCATAGTGAGACCCTGTACCAAATACATAAATGGGAGGGGAGGGGAAGTAGAAGAAATGATAGTATCTTTATAGCCTTAAATCTATGGTCCTCTTCAGCATCTTGAGTAGCTGGAATTATAGGTGAAGACACATTTTTTTCAATAGCAAAAATATAACAATAATAATGAAGATGAGTGGGTATATTCAGGGGACATTTGCATATTCCTGTATATGCATGTGTTGGGTGGTTAATGGACAGGAGGAAAGGGCATTTCATGCTTTTGAAGCATTTCCTTTTCTTCCTCATGATTTTAGTCAGAAGTGAGTTTTCATTTATCTAGTCTGAAAGGAAAAAGCATGGGATCTACTATAAAGACATAAATAAAATCTGCTCGTGTTGGCCTCACTATTAATAAAAAGGTTGCTCTATGTCTTTCAGAAACTCCCATAATCATTATTATCACGTCATGAGTTCTCCTTCTGCTCAGGCAGGTCAGGCACAGGTTAGACATACCCACATGACAAATTCGAGCCATCCCCCTTAGTAGCCACCATTACTCGTATCTGTCACTGTAAGGACACCAATACAACAAGTAAAAATAAATGTAAGTAGTAAAAGTTAGGAGATGTTAGAAGTTGGATGCCAGTTTTTGTGAATAAGAAAAATGATTCACTTCAAAGACCTGGGGGCTGGGGAGATAACTCAGTGGTCTAAGTGCCTGCCTGGCAAGCTCAGGGATCTGAGTTCAGTTTCCATTATCACATACCATGCTGGCCCTGAAACCAGGTGTGATGACACACCCCTGTTACCCCAACACTGGGGAGGCTGAGGCAGGAGGATCACTATGAGTCCAAGTTGCATAGCAAGGCCCTGTACCAAATAAATAAATACATATATATATTTTTTTTCTTTAAAATTTAAGGATCTGTTGGAGAGCAATGATTTCTCCAGCTTAAACAGGGAGGAAAGTGGACCACAGAGGGTGAGTCACTGGGGCCCTGGAGGAGCTACTGTGAAGGCTGGGGTATTCATCATTCACAGCTCACGTCTTGCCATACCTAAAGTTGCTTGTATATCTTGCCAATACACAAGCAAATCCTAACACCAGACTATTCTAGGTCAAACTCAGCTTTGTCCTCATTGTGGAGAGGAGAGCAAGGCATTTGAGAGTGCAGCTGCAGCATCTGGGGACCAGCCTGATGGGGGTAGGGTTTTGCTCTGCAAGATCCCCCAGAAGTCTCATGTGGACCTTTTGGCAGGTAATTGAGTCACAAGGGCTCTTACTCCATCATTTCATTGATAGGGTCATAGATTTGGGATTTTTTTCCACTAATTTTCAATCATTTTCAAATGTCATTCATTTTGCCATTAATGTGCTTCCTGGGCAACAGTACACAGAGTCCTAATTTGATGGTATTGTTCAGAGACTGAAGAGACGGGACCTCATGGAATCGTGTGGATCATGGGGACATGGCCTTGAGCCTGTATCTGTTTTTTGGCTCCTTTCTCGCTGGCTCTTTCCTTCTCTTTCTGCCCCCTTGCTGCCAGTTGACAATTCTTCTGTACCATTCACTTCCCATGCCATGGCCTGAAACCACAGGGCAAAATAAAGCTTTTGCTGACTAATAGGGAGACAAGTCCTTTCAGGCCAGAAGACTTCCTTGAGGAGGCAGAGACTCAAATATTTTAGGAACTCCGACAGATGCCACATCATACTCCTAAGAAGCAATAGTAAAAACATTTGTCTTGGGAAATTTGAAGTGCTACTTGCCTACAGTTGGATCTCCATCTGAAACCAGAATGATCAGAGAGACTGAGTTGGGGTCTAACAATCCTAAGTTATTGGCTTCATTCAAAATAAAGATGGCCCGCAGGAGTGCTTCGTTGATATTTGTGCCTGTGAAAGTAATATAATGTGTCATTGAAAATTCTTTCTTTACACACACACACACACACACACACACACACACACACACACTCATATCTTTGTATTCAAGCTGGTTTGTCTGGTGATCACTGCTGTGTAATTTACTCAATATTAATGTCACTTGATTGCTTTCCAGGTAAACTTTACTCTATCTGGTCAAGATCATCCAGTGCAGCAAATTATTTAAATTATCCTCTTGGAAATGAGGAAGCCCTTTAAAATACCCATTTGTCATTGTATAAAATACATACTTTAGAATATCTAAATCAGCTTTGCTGACATACTCTGAAGACAGTTATATTTCATGCTATGCAAGTGAAAATAAAAAGGCTAGTGTGTCAAAATACTGAATCTTCTTCCATGAAAGATGGGAATGGTAGGATTGGGGAGATAGCTCAGAAGTCTAAGCACCTGCCTGGCAAGTGCAAGGACTTGGGTTTGATCCTTAGTACTGCGTGCCATGCCAGCCCTGGAACACACTCTGAAACCTGGCATGGTGACGCATGCCTGTAATCTCAGAGCTGGGGAGGCTGAGACAGGAGGATCACTACAAGTTGGAGCTGCATAGCAAGACCTTGTAGTAAATAAATAAATAAATAAATAAATAAATAAATAGATGGGAATGGTTAAAAACTTGTATGGGTGGGCTGATGCTTTTTAGTTTTACCATAACCATTATTCATCATTTAATAAGAAATGCGTTTTTCAGGGTAGACCACTGCAGACTAACCAAAGATCATTGTGGTGGGCAACAGTGAGTCTTAAGTAAGTGAGCCTACATTTGGATCATGAGGCTTTAGGCCAAACCCACTCACCTCCACTAGGCTGGATCTTCTCAATGTATCTCTTGGCATCTGAAATTTGTGTTTTAGTAGCAGAAACTAAATCATTTCTCCAAGTTCGAACATTGTGGTTGAAATCAACCACAGAGAATTGGTCTTCCGATCTTAGGTCATCCAATATGGTCTTCATTGCTTCCACAGTCTGTCACAGAAGAGATGTTAAAAGGTCTCATTCCACAAACTCTGAGCCTAAGAAAAAGCTCGGAGACCAAGCACTGATCCTGTGCATCCATCAATTACTGACTCAAGCTAAACATCTGCTGAAACCCCTGCTATAACTCACTAGGTTAATGTAGACCTGTCCCTGGTACATTCTGGGCACATACTGTTGACTTTATTGTACTTAAATTTTTACTCTCTTTTTTAAACTGCACAATAGTTTGACTAGTCTTATTTTAAGGATCACAAACTTTAGCTCTGTTGAACGCTTGAAAATCAAAGCATTGATTTTCATTCTTTCACATCCTTCTTGAACAGTTTACTTCTTCCTCCATCTCAGTTGATGACCTCAATTCCTGTTCCACCAAAAAGCAGAAGCAATCAGAAGGAACTTTCTATAAACTCCTGCCACCATAACCCTTCAGCTAGCAACATCTTAACATGCTGCAAACAAATCCCCTATTTCCTATAATGCCTGATTCTCTCCGTGAGTTTTCCAGTCACTGATGGAAAGCTGCATCCTTCCTTCTAAGTGTTCAGGCTAAAGCATACGACTATCTATTCTACCTTCTTTCTCCTCCTCCCTACCCATTTTGTTAACCTTCCAGGAAACATTCAGAACCGATGTTCTTACTTTACATTCAGAACAGATTTCAGAATTCAGTCACTTCTCACCATATTCATAGCTGTTACCCTGGCCCAACCTGCTATCTTGTCTTACTTGGATTATTACAATGGCCTCTTTTCTGGCCTCCCTGCTCCCACCCTTAGATCTGTACCAGTCTGTTCTCAATGTAGCAGCCAGAGATACCCTTTGGCACCCAACAGGTCATGACACTCTTTCATTCATCCCTTCTCCCCAGTAGCTGTCTGCTTATCCCTAAGTATCATAAAGGCCAAAGGGCAGGGCAGGGATGAAGTTTTACATTTAAAAAATTCACTGACATGTAATAATTTTCTATTTTAATGCCTGCATACAGCCTACACTGATCAAATCTAAGTAGGTAAATTTCAATCTCCTTATCATTTTTTGCATCTGATGCCTTCAAGCTATTCTGTTCTAGTTTGTTACAACATATATAACAGGTTATTTCCCATTATTGTCACCTCAACCTGATGCAGAACTTCATAACTAATTCCTATGGTTAAGAGGGGGGGTGTTTTGCTTGGTTGTTGTTTTTACTTTTATATTTTTGGTCTATTTTGCTCAGTGGTGAGCTAATTACTTGATACATGATTGCGGCTTCACATATACTTGTTAATGGATGAGGGGAGGGAGGAGGGAAGGAAGCAGTGAATAAATCACTGTGTAGATATTCTTACTGTGTAACTTAGACTGACCTTGAACTCTCGTTCCTCCTGCTTCAGCTCTTATGTGTTGGGATTACAGGTGTGTGCCACTGTGTTTGGCTATTTTTCTTATTTATTCTTCAGACTTGCCTCTCTGCTACTGTTCATGAGTAAACTTACCTGAACTCTGAACTAAAAGACACAGCACAAGAGAACCAACTTCAAGGAATTGTGATATAATTTAAAACACAGATACATGATTATTGAAAAGTTTCTGTTGAGTAATGAGATGATGTTAAAGTAAAATGTTTTGCAGAAGAACTGAAAGACTAAGACACAGGGGTGGGCAGAGTGAGATGAGGTTATATAGGGATGAGACTTTGAAGAAGCGAGTTGAGAAGTGAGCTTTTAGGGAAATACTGCACATAAAATAGAAAAGGGAAGAAAGACCCAGTCCTAGGCCAGATCTGGTGAGTGTGTGGGAGAACTTCCTGCTACTCTGAGCCGGCGGGACCTACTACTGGTCCCAGCCCAGGCGCAGCATGGGTAAGACCCTCTTCCACCCCCTTGGGATACCACCCACCACTCCACAGCACCTCCCCAACCTGGCCTGAGCAGGAATTTCTGCCGCGTTCCGGGAACACCCAGACCCAGTCCTAGCCCAGACCCAGTGAGTGTGTGGGAGAGCCGCCTCTCCCTTCTACTCCAACTTGTTCCCTCCAGGTTCAGCACAGGCCTGGCATACAGGCCTGGGGTGTAACCCTGCAGCTGCAATCCCTGCAGAGAGTGTAGAGGATAGAACCACCCAGCTAGTCCAGGAGCAGAAAAATCTTGCAAGAGGGCAGAGCAGGTTTGCC